TACCTAAATCTTATTTTAAGGCCATTTTTATTTACAGTTTTGCCGTTTTAATTTACGTGAAAATACTACTACTTTTAATACAAGGAACTGATTGCTCTAAATCAGACGTGGCCAAACTAAGGCCCGGGGGCCGGCTTGCAGCCCGTTCAGGCCGGCTAAACGGTATCCAAATGATATCATTTCTTTATATTGTCATCACACTTTTGCCTTTTCCCTGCAATACCCACGTTTCCCAAATAGATGGCGTAGAAAATGATTTTTAACATCTTAGCATTTATGCATGACTTTTAAATGTTAATTCCGACGAACGCTCCATCTGAATATTCATTACCACAAGGATTTGCAGGTTTTTTGCCCCCCAACCCCCTGCACGTTACGTTGACCTCCGAGGTAAATACCAACTGTCCGGTTCCACAAAACAGCCAATTAGCAAAGACAGAATGTTGTCGGAGAAAATGTCGCTCTACCTTTTCTTTTTTTTCCTTCCTTCCTCATCGCTAATCGCTAATTACCATTGCGAAGTTGACAAAGGAATATTTGAATGCCGGGGGATATTGCCCCATCCGTTATTGTCGACTGAGAACCGGAAGTCTCTCTATTGGTCAGCCGTGTAAAAAAAAAAAAAAAAAAAAAAGGAGTTTTCCAGTTGCTGACAGATGGAAGGAAAACGAAAGAATTTCGCAGTATTTTACATATGAACTTTACATGGAAAACAAAAAGCCGATAAAAAGTACAAACGTGGCGATAATTAATTTCCCCCCCGAGGAACTGAAGTGCAAAGATTTGTCTGACCTATAAAGTGACCTCTTCATCCAAAGTGACACTTGAGTTGCACATCATCAGGCTAATCCCCTATGAATCAAAGTTGATTACCTTCTCACAGGGGGGAAAACAGCTTCCATTAAACTTGAATGACTGGTGGCAGGTAGTCGTGTTATGATTAAATATTTACCCCTTGGTCTCATTAATAATTGTAATCTTTGTATTTATGACCAGGATAGAGCGGAGTAATATTCAGCGTTTATAATTTTGTTTACACGTTGACTTTTACTATAACTAATTCTGTCAAAGCGGAATAAGCAAATGAAAAAAAAAAAATCAACTATCAGTCAAATAAAGCATGTGGATAAGGTTAACGCCATCTATTGGAGAAACATGGGTATTGCAAGCGGAAGGCAGAAGTATAATGATAATATACATAAATGATATAATTTGGAAAAAAATTTGGCGGACCGGATTTAAAAGCTAAACGGGCCGCATCCGGGCCCCCGAGCCTTAGTTTGCCCATGCCTGTGTTAAGCTAATAATCCATAAAATGTTAGACTTTGAAATGAGATTCTGGGGGTCAGGAAATTTAAATCTAATCCAGAGGATTGCTTTGTAGAAACTGAGTAAACAAACCGCACTAGCCCGCTGGTCGGATCGGGAAAATATCTGGTGAGCAACGAAAAGCGGGAATTTGTAAATGATTTACAACTAGTTGTTTATTGAAGTCCCTTTAATGATTGGCTCTTTGTTGTTCAAAAAGAATATTGTATTGCAAGCATTCCGTTTGTTTATCTGATCAATAAACAGGGACCAAAAAAAAAGAAGAAGAAGCTCAAAACGCACCATTTTGGAGCCTTATTTGAACAACCGCTCTCAGCTGTTAGTGATTAGTTGTTACCTACGGATTTCGGATTTATCACTGAAAAATTCAGCAAGGCCGGCTTCCTCGAGCAACGCTGCGTTAAAATACGTAACCCTAACCGAATGAAGAACATCCGCGCTGTGCTCAGGAACTCCAGAAGACCAAGGTGAGTTTTAAGCAAAGGCCATAAATATAAACAACAGCTGCCATGTTTAGCACCTATATAAATCTGAAGGACAAGGATTTAATCGGTGTCATCAGTCCTTAAAGCTACAATGAATAGTGGGTGTTAAATTAGTGGTGAAGAAAAAAAAAGTGTCCTTAAAGTGTGACATGAATTTAAGGATCAGATGGATGGATGGATGGATGGATAGAGAGATAGATAGAGAGATAGATAGATAGATAGGGAGAGAGAGAGAGCGCTAGATAGATAGATGGATGGATAGACAGATAGATAGATAGATAGATGGATGGATGGATGGATGGGTGGATGGATGGATGGATGGATGGGTGGATGGATGGATGGATGGATAGACAGATAGATAGATAGATGATGGATGGATGGATAGATAGATAGATAGATAGAGGGAGAGAGAGAGAGAGAGAAAGAAAGAGAGATAGATAGAGAGAGAGATAGATAGATAGATAGAGAGAGAAAGAGATAGAGAGAAAGAGAGAGAGAGAAAGAGAGAGAGATAGAGATAGATAGATAGATAGGGAGAGAGAGAGAGAGAGAAAGATAGAGAGAGAGAGAAAGAGAGAGAGAGAAAGAGAGAGAGAGATAGAGATAGATAGAGAGATAGATAGATAGATAGACAGAGAGAGAGAGAGAGAGAGAGGGGGATAGAGAGAGAGAGAGAGAGAGACAGAGAGAGAGAGAGAGAGAGATAGATGGATGGATGGATGGATGGAGGGATGAATGATAGATAGATAGATAGAGAGAGAAAGAGATAGAGAGAAAGAGAGAGAGAGATAGAGAGAGAGAGATAGATAGAGAGAGAGAGATAGATAGACAGAGAGAGATACAGATAGATAGGTAGAGAGATAGAGAGAGAGAGATAGAGAGAGAGAGATAGATAGATAGATAGATAGAGGGAGAGAGAGAGAGAGAGAGAAAGATAGAGAGAGAGAGAAAGAGAGAGAGAGAGAAAGAGAGATAGATAGAGAGATAGATAGAGAGATAGAGAGAGATAGATAGATAGAGAGATAGATAGCACCTTTAATTACTCGAGAGCAGAGTAAACACACGACCGAATGATCAACGATCAACAAAGCAGCCCGTGAGACTGAGGTGTTTTCTCAGATTGGATTCAGCACCACGGACAGCTCCGACGTCTATTTGGTTCTTACAGCATCCTTTCTAACATTATTATTATATCTCAAACTGTCAAATCCACCCCCTTATTCTGTGAATGCATGTGCGGCTAAAACACTCAACTATAATTAAAACAAAAAAAAAAGATCCTAGAGCAAAAAAAAACGCCGGAATTTTCACATAGAATACCTCAATGTCAAATAGAGTTCGTGCGGTTTATCCCAACCTAAAGAACATTCTGTACCTCTCCTGTGTTGCCGGAGTATAAAGTTGGGTCTTTTTTTTTTTTTTTTTTTGGAAGACCATCCGATTGGACCACCTCTGGAATTTTCGGCTGCTCTCTCACCAATGCCGTCCCTCTGATTCTTTTCCTCCTCCCTCTCCCTTTCTCCTCTCACCCAGACGTCACCCACTGTACCAGTGATTTTTGAAACCAATTGAGAGGGAAGGTGTGTGTGTGTGTGTGTGTGTGTGTGAGAGACAACGTACGGGCAGAGTAAGAGGGCGTGTGATAGGCTGACACATGGTGGAGTAAAGCCTAAGCAGACGTTTTCTTTTCCGAACTAACTATTATTTTTAGCACGATTCCCTGAAGTGGAGAAAGTCTAAAAAAAAAGCACATTTTATTATTACTATTTTTAAAAATTTTTTTTTTTTTTTTTTTTTTTGGGGGGGCTAGTCCGGAGCAACAGGTGTCACCAAGCTTAAAACAATGTGTGTGGTTTTTTTCCTAAGCGGCCAAATGTGAAAATATCAAAGTCAAACTAACTTCTTGCTCAGTGAACACCGTGGCCTCTCTTGACCATCACCTTGACACCGGGGCTGACATGATCGTGTCCAACGCGAGCCTGAGCGGCGGCGGCGGCGGCGGCTGCGCGTGGGTGTCCGACAGCGCCGCGTGCGCCGCAGCCGGGGAAGCACCGCCCGGGGGCGGCTCGTACCGGACCACCCTCACCCCGACGGGGAACCTGGTGGTCGCGGTGTGCTTGGGATTTATCGGCTCGTTCGGACTCGTCAACAATTCCCTGGTGCTGGTGCTCTTCTGTCGCTACAAGATTTTGCGCTCGCCCATTAACCTGCTCCTGATGAACATTTCCATCAGCGACCTGCTGGTGTGCGTGCTCGGAACTCCGTTCAGTTTCGCCTCCAGCATGCGCGGACGCTGGCTGTTAGGGAAAGGTGGCTGCATCTGGTACGGATTCGCCAACTCCCTGTTTGGTAAGTAACGTACAATTTTACGTTAGATGATACGCTGTTGTGATTAGTGCCGGTTCTTCCCGATGTGGAAACGGCCACGGCTGCAATTCGGGTCCGTTTCTGGCGATTTCAATTATGGAGAAACACGACAAACGATCGCGTTTTATCTCTAGAACAACATCAATGATCCGCGCATTCGTTTTGTACGTCGTGATTCGTTCAGAACTTTAATTAAAATCCCTTAAAAATCTGCGCAACCTATTAAACCCAGACAATGGAACAGATGTGACGGTTTAATCCAGTGATTCTCAAAACTGTGGGGCGCACCACCCCGGCAGGGACGTTCAGTACACACTGTCTTCATTAATGCTGGAATAAATAAATAAACTCTCATTCATTAAAAGCTCTTTCGCCTATTTTGATAACCATGCAGAATATTGCTGTCATACAGTGTCGTTATTTACCATTTTGAGTAGTATTTCAATTCGGGAGGAGGAGGAAGGGAGCGTGAAAAAAAAAAACTTCTGTCCCCTTTGGGCAAAAGCATGACAGAAAAAATAAAAAAATCAACTCAAATCTAGGCTAGGAGGACTTCGAATAAATGATCACGGAGGCTCGTTAGCCTATAGCTGAGTGCGGGGTTTGGTCATTATCGTTCATTTATCTTTATCTGCTCAGCCTGCGGGACACGCAGTCTCCGTCGGAGGAATAACGCCACCCAGGGGAAATTAGTAATAAGGAAAAACACACATAGGTCTATCGTTTTTTTTTGTCTGTCTCCTATATTGAGCAAAAACCTAAAAAAAAAAAAAAAAAAAAACTGCGCTAACAAATGCTTCCTCAGAGATGAAACTACGGAGCAGATCATTTGAACGCGTCGAAAAAACCCAGTGTCCTATGTCCATCCGACAACATCTTCAACGTCTTTTGTCCATCTATCCGTGGCACGGCTTCTAACTTTCGCAACTACTGGTTCTGTAACTTTGTCTCCAAAATGCTTCACGCCTCATTTCCCTGACTATTCCACTTTTTCACCCTCTGCCTTTTTCTTCCCCAAACTGAGCAGATGTCGCGTCTTACTCCGGGGGGTGTCAAACTCAATTTCAAAACTGGGACGTGGGCCAAACTCAATATATATTGAAAAAAAAAAAATGACTGGAAATGTGTATGTTTTAGTTTTGCGTAAAACATCGAATCCGGAAGGACCGAAGCTTGATATTATAAACATGAGAAATTTAATTCAAAATAAATGTATTTAAATTGAATAAATCACCAAGAATCGGAAATGTATGTGCTATAATATCGTACGTACATCGCTAATACTACAAATCCCGCCAGTATATAGTGGCTAAATAATGGTGAGCCAGCTGTAATACACATTTGATATGATCTGGCGGGCCAAATATGATTACACCAGGGCCCAGATTTGGGCCGCGGGCCCTGAGTTTGACACCACTCTACACGCAAACATCCTGTGCTAAGACTCTCAAACCCACAATTTGCTTTCGAAATAGTTCTTTTGATCGAATCCCTAGTTCTCTTCTCTTGCGTGTGACCTTATTTTCGTCATGTCCACCATTAACTCTTCCATTAATTTTTAAGGTCCTATCTATCTATCCATCCATCTATCCATCCATCCATCCATCCATCCATCCATCCATCCATCTCTGCCACCCATAATGCTTCCTCTTCTCATCCCCAATGGATTTTTTTTACTCATTTCCAACCTGTCGGTCAACAGCAGGAGTAACATTGTTTACATGATGGTTATTTACTGTACATATACATTCCACAAAAAGGGTCTAACGGTTTGGTAGATCAATCATTTTCCAACTTTTAAAGTTCATTCCTGACACTCTGGTCTCCATTAATCATCATAAATGTAGGTATTTGCACAACTTTCCAAACCTCGAAAAAGGCCCAAATCGGTTAATTTCTATTTTTTGGCTATTGGTCTTAGCTAGCCTTCGTGAGTCCGCAGGCTTCGTTTTTCTTTCATAACCGTTGACATGCTCATTTAAATCTGGTGGGTTTCGTTTTCTTTCATAACCGTTGACATGGTCATTTAAATCTGGTGGAAAAAAAAAAACTGCATACACTCACCCTAACTTTAAACCTTTCAAACTGCATACCCTCACCCTAACTTTAAACCTTTCAAACTTTCACAAAAAAAAAACTCAACTTTCCAGATGTCCTCAGAGCAGGAATAATTGCCGTCGTGAAAAAAAAAAACAACTTGAGAATCTACTGTATCACTGAGACAAACCGCCTCAGACGCAACACCAACATCCACCAGGAGCCAATTTAGTAACATCGCGAAGAAAGAGACAGTATGAGTGGATGTGTTACAAGGATCATTAGAGCTCCCATTGGTTGCGGATGCGTGATTTCTCGATGGACTCGTAAAAACAGGAAAAAAAAAAACGGGAACGCTTGAAGGGAGTCAGAGAGAGGAAACTTGATTTTCCAACAAATCCTGTTGAGCTTCGACGATCCATTGATGCGCTTTTAAATGACAGGGCCTCCGTGTCAGTGACGGGAGACGTCGTTAGTCTACTAAAAAAAAAAAAGCGTGTCATTGCCGTGAAATCTAAGCCTCCTGAATGACAGACGACTCACCGCTCCGGCTTAGCCGAGGCTGAAAGTGGCCACGAATGCATCCTATACTTTTTTTTTTCTTTTTTTTTTTTTACCCCCCGCATCTCCTGACACCAATTTGCTGCCACCAATCTTGAATTTAAATGACTCTTATTGTCTTTCATCTGACTGCGGTATATATCGAATGTAGCTCTGCATGCTGCCTCAGGTGATCCAAAAAAAAAAAAAAAAAAGAGACAGTTACTGGATTAACCTTGCGCTGCTGCGCCGCCTTTGTCTCGCAGTGAAGTTTCGGTGGTCCTGCTGCGGCAATCTAATACCAATGGAATCAATTCACACCCGTGTAGCTTAGCTCATATTTGAAGAAAGACGCAAGTGCACCACCGGCACAATCAGCATGCGGTCTGAGCTATTTTTATTTCTTAAACGTAGAGAGAACACATCTCAGCCAGGGGGGAAAAAAAAAAGGGAGCGGGAGAAGTTCCAGCAATATGGACGAAAAGAGTGAGCAGGGCTAATGAGCCCAGGTGATAGATAACTCTTTAAGGAATAACACGATGCTGCTGCAGAGACGCAGCAGTTCGACTTTTTTTTTTTTTTGCACCATGATCAGGGTCCCTGCAAACTGCCGTGATTGTAAAATATATATTTTAATGATCCCACGTGATTAAGCATGCGAAGGTTTGCATCAGGGAAAGGCACCTGCTCAAAATGAATCCGAATCGCTACGTGGTACAGCGGCTGCAGCAGAGGGAGGGAACACAATGTACAAACCCCATTTCCTGTGACACCTTTGACTATGAACAATGACAACCATGGAGAAATGCGTTGAGAACGTACATTTCTAGTTCTATAGCTTGAAAAACTTTTTTTTATCAACTTTTTTTTTTAATCAAAAAAATTTTTCTTTTTCTTTTTATCTGACTGTTTTCTGTTTAGTTAACACTGTAAAAAAAAACAACAACAATATAACTGGTCTAAAATTTGGGATTTGGACTAGTGGTCCAGAGGTCCTTTAGACCAAGATTTTGTGCTTAAGTAAAAAAAAAACATGTAGAAACATCCCCATCCATCCATCCATCCATCCATCCATTCATTCATCCATTTTCATCCGCTTATCCGTTACCGGGTCGCGGGGGCAGCAGTCTCCACCACCGCAACCCAAATCACACTGCACCGTACCAACCCCCCTAAAACTTCCTGCTGGTGGTGAGTCCACTGGAAGGTAACAACCGCCCTAACCGGGATTCGAACTTGCCCAGGAGGTGAACCCTGGGGTTCCACACCAATGACAGAGAAAATAGAAAATCTGGGTAAGAAACCAAAACATGCAGTATGGGTGATCGAAGAAAACTGCTAACGTATTTTCCGGACTATAAATCGCACTTCTTTTCATCCTTTGGGTTCGGCTGGGTTTGCGACTTGCACTCAGGTGTGACTTGTATGTTAAAATATATTATTTCACCGCTAGAGGGCACTCTAGGCTTGTGTTCCAGTACCTGCTACTCCTGTACCACTGACAATTTACATATTAGTTATTTTAA